ATCTGTATATCATTCCAACCGCTCCACTGGCCATTTAGAGTGCGTGAGGGTTGCTGGTGTGGTATCTGTGAAAATTGAGATAAGCTAGAATTCTGTGCTGAAAATCTGGAAGATGTATAAGCATCATTGAGTTGGGAGAATCTATCTCCAATATAGCTAGGAATTCTTGGGTCCTGGTTAGCAGAAATAGATTGTTGCATCAACAACGGGATTCTTGCATCACTCTCTGATGTGTTTAGTTGTTGGTGAAAAGCAGGCCTGGAACCTAATCCTGTATTATTTACTCCAATAGGTAGCCTTCCTTTGCCAACAGCAAGAATTGCTGGATCAATAAATTCTACATCATCAACAATGTTGGTCGCATGTACTTGAAACTGATTTTGAAGTGCACTTCCAAGCAATTGTGAATCTGCAGAAAAAATAAAGAAGTAAGGAAACTGAATGTCAACATCAGGTGAGTGTGGTTTATGTGTGCGAGCTTGAGGGTGAAGGGAGGAGGGGAAGCTGAAAATGTAAAAACCTGAGCATGTACTGAAAGACTGGACATATCTATCTTGAGATGAAAAGCCTGGAGGTGGAGCCCTATTAGGAGCAGAAAATCCAGGTGGGGCAGATATTTTAGACCTCATGATACCTTCAACAGAGAAGCAGAAAAAAAATATTATTAGCCAGAAACTTAAGATACAGCCCAAAACATTTGATTTGAACAAATATAATGAAAAGGATATAGAGAGCTTGCAACGGAAAGATTTAAGAATGTGATTACAAAGATGTGCATGTACTTGACACTAGCACGTAAGTACTAGACTAAACAATGCCCTGTAGAGTGGAGGAAATCTAGCTACTACAGGAAATACAAAAGCATGCTTTTAAGTCTCACAAAACCCAATAAGCTGCTGATGGTTATCTGAAAGAATAATATATCAGAAAAAAATTGACATGTAATTGGGTTAAAGAACCTGTGCACTTATATATAAGAAATGACGACATAAAGCACAAAAGAAAGACAGGGATTGATACAGTACACAACAATTGTAAACTAAAACATTTGGAAAAAAAATAGACATAATTTTCACTCAAAATTTTATGAGAAAAGTAAGAGACCGGAGTTGTATTTGCATAAACCACCCAACAAAAGAAGTTTAGATGGCACATTAAATAGTAGTGCAGAGATGAAAAGAAGGTAAAGAGATACAAAGAAAACTGGTGCTAATAGCTTGAACTAGCCACCACACTACAAATTATAGCTGTCTCACCTGTGACGAAACTCATTAATACAAATATGGCAAGCGAACAGCCACAATAAATAGCATTCTAATTCCTGACTATTGAGGCATGGATGCCTTCACTAAGTATTAAGCATGTGCAGGGTCTGTGTCACAGGTCTTAATTATGGCCGCCTAAATAGATTACATGATACAACAAAAACGTCTTGATCGAAAAGACGAAAATTTTAAGACGAACTAAGCAGAACCCTATTTCTCCATTTAGCTATATACAGGTTTATATATTCTATAAGGTTTTCATAGACATGTGAAAGCCATAAATATTTCTAATTTATAAGGCTTTCGTTTACTTCGGCAGCTTCTACTTGTGTTAGTGTGAAGATTGATTCATCCAGTGAAGGCAGGCCCATGCCTGTTCCAGCTATATGCAATTTGGCTGACCCTTCAGTTCATAGGGTCAACTTGTCATTTAAGACCTAATAGGAGACACATCTAGAGTATGTCCGTCAAATCATACTCCCTTTAAAAGCACGAGTTCGGAAAATCTTTTTTAGACAAATATACCCCTTTATAGTTTGAACTACCTTATCTATAATCAAATTCTAATTTTCAATGGTCAATATTACCCTTCACTATTTTAAATATTTTATTTATATCTTAATCTATCCTAATCATAATCATATCTTATCCTAATCCTATGTGAACCATGTTTAGCTTAATAATTTAAAAAAACTAATATTAATAAAATATATAAAACATAAAAATGATATTAGTTTGTTAAGATAAAGAAATTACAAGTAGATAACATATTATAATACATGAAGTATTGCAAAAAAACCATAAAAAGTTTTAAAATTGCAGAAAAGACCCTGAAAAGTTTAAAATTATAAAACTCATCCAAATGTCTCAAAACTTAAAATAAAAAACATGAAATTAAAAAATTAACATCAGTTTGCAAAGAATTTAAAATTTACAGTTAACACCTAAATGTCTCAAAAATTATAGAAACACCCTCAAAAGTTTAAATTACAGACAATCACATTAAAATTCTAAAATTTTAAAACTTACAAACAACACAGATGAATTCAATAGATTACCAAGATACACCTAAAATTTTTGACATTTAAATTTAAAATTTTTAATTAACGCCCTCAATATCTAAAAAATTATAGAAACACCTTCAAAAGTTCAAATTATAAAAAACCACCCTAAAATTCTAAAATTTGTAAATAAAATAAGATGAATTCAAGATATTACCCTTAGACACCTAAAAATTAAAATTTGCCAAAATTAACCTCAAAATTTTTAAAAAACTCCTTCAAAATTTAAAAATCGTAAAAAAACTCTAAATTTTTAAAATTTTTAACTAGCACACATCAAATTCGTCGATTGGTAGACCGCTAAAATTTAATATTTTTCAAAATTAATCTATAGTTTTAATAATTGTAAAAGACACCCTCAAATTTTTAGAGTTACAAGAAATATACTAACATTTAAAAAATTACTACCAACACATGAAACATAAAATTTACAACTACCAAACTTAAAAGTAAATTTTTTTAAAATTTCTTTCAAAATTTTAAAAATTATAAATCACACCCTCAAAGTTCAAAACCACAAAAATGGGCTAAAATTTTAAAACTTGGCAAAGAAAAGTGTAATTGTTTGGTATTTTTCATATATATATATATATAATATGAGAAAAATGTGTATGATTGGTACCAAGCACAAATTTTGTGCTTGGTAGTGAGGTGTCTTATTCTCATCCACTCATTCAATTGGGGGGCCAAATTCAACCCATGTGAATGTGGTCCCCTCATTTGAATGAGTAAAGGATAATATGCCACCTCACTATCAAGCACAAATTTTATGCTTGGTACCAAGCATACCTATATTCCTCTCTCTCTCTCTCTCTCTATATATATATATATATATATTAAAATTTCTAATTTAGGGATTTACTATCCATTTTCAGCATCTAAGAATAGTCTAAGTTGATACTGGTAAATAAAAACAATAAGAATTGATTAAAAACATCCGGTTAATGGATAAAATTTTAAAAATATTATAGATTAAAAATTATCGGCACTATTTAAATTAAAGTAATTTCATATAATTTTAGTAATAAGTTGGGTTAGCCAAAATACATTCGTAACATTAATTGATAGATGTTTAAATCCATAGAAATGATAAAACACTATAATATTATACCTTAGCATTAATTGATTTTAATTTAGAAACTTTAATCTTTGACGTTAATAATATTTATAGGGTAAAAGAATACAATGAATTCCATATGGAGAAACTATTAGAATATTTAGAGATAACTTTAAAAGAATTGAGTTATTTCCATTGCAAATGGGAAAGTGATGGAAATAAATCTAAAATTCAGAAAACGTCAATGAATCACTTGAATTAGCATTAACATAAGACATATCTATTAATAAAGCATTGAATGAGTTACATTAAAAAATAATTTAATAACTTTATCCTAATCAAAGAAAAAATCTCCATGGAAGACATAAGAAAAATTAGTAAGTATTCATAAATTCCATACTGTGTTCTTCAAATTAAATATTAATATTATAATCTAAGAGAAATTGGTAATGAATAACAGAAATAACAGAAATTCTTATTGGATGCATATCAGAAGAATTCATTTTAGAGGAATATAAAAATATAGCTTCTAATTTATTTAAGTAATAAATTAGGAACACAAAGAATTTTATATATATGAAATTAATATTTATTCTCATTAAAATAGAAAAAAAAATCAAAGTCTATATTTTGAGCAGTTTGTGTTGAACATCATGAGTACATTTGACTTCTTTGTAAAGTTAAATGAGATGATAAAAAATTAACGAGCCTAGGAAAGATAATAGCATAAAAATACAAAATTAGCCTGATGTCACAATTGATGTAGATGATGAAGACAATACTCTAGAATTGTCCGAGAAATGATGAATGATAAACCTGAAGAATGATTGATCTTAACTCAATAAAAAATAAAATTGAAGAAATAAAAAACAATATTTTTTTGAATATTTTATAGAATAGTTTAATTATTTTGAGTGAAATTAGGAATCTTTAGAAGGGAGTTTCATGAATTTTTTTCAGTACTTTTATATTCTTATGTGGATGTTTTTATCATATAAAAGTATACTAGAGTTAGCATTAATCTTTAATTTATATTTTTTTTATGAAGTCTATCAATGATTATGAATAAACTTCATATTCTTTTTTGCATCGTTTTAACATACTTTAAATCAATCATTTTGCCATATTGGTTTTAAACATTCACCTTTCTTGTATAACACTATTTTAATATTTTTCACTTTGCAATACTATACTTTCTCAAATAAAGCTTAATTTCATATCTGTCAAAAATAATATGAATATTCAAATTATTTTTAAATTATATTTGTTTTTTGTCAATTCAAATATCAACATAAAAATTTAAATTGGGTGTATCTCATTTAAACAAACATAAAAAAATAATCAGGATGTAAGAGTTTAAAGAAAAAAATGAGCGCAAACTGCCAAAAATACTTAATCATGGTATTAAATCACGTGCATTGCACGTGTGTAAAAACTAGTATCTTCAAAAGCATAACAATGCATATATGAACCATTTATGTCACATAATATTTATTTCACATATTTTTACTTGACCAGGAGATAATATAAATAGGCAAAATCATTTATTTAACATATTTTTACTTGACTCGTACAAAATGTGGTTCAAAACCCCAAAAGGGATGCATCACATTATATGTACTAGGGTTTGGGCCTATCCTTTACACTTTACCTTCAGACTTGAATAAAGTGGACCACTCTTCAGCCCAAAAAATAAGCTTGGGCCAGCAATCATGCATATGTGAGCATGTCCAGAACATGGCCCATTGCCAGCCATAGCCAACAGCCTATAATTTCAAAATTCATTTACAATTTAAAAAAACATTACTCCCATCGCTTATCAAATTGACTGTTTTCTTCAGGTTATTGGCACATCATGACAACAGCCTTGCCTCCTATATTTTTGAGAATGTAGTCATGACTAAACAATGATATCTATAATAATGAGATATAAACATAATTCAGATATTTCCTATAATATCTATAAGACAAAACCCAGACAAAAACAAAAAGGGATTGTCTAATATTTAGTCCCCCAAGTTTGAACCCCCCCCCCCAAAAAAAAAAAAAAGAATATCATATTTTTGAACTGTCCCCTAATTTTTTGAGTTATGCCAAATAGATCACTCAAGTTCAAATCTGTTAACTTAACCTAAAAGATTAAATGTCAGTTATTATTATTGTTAAGCTCTTATCTGTTTCATCCACATCTCATTTCTCAGTTATGATATTCTGCTGGCATGAGGAGACAAGAGAAGTCAGATACAGATTTAACAGTGGAATAGGGAGATGCATATACAGGGAGTTGGATAACTTTTTATGTTGCATCCTTCAATTAACATTATAATGTATGAAATGTTGGAACAGTGCTAATTGTCATTCAGTTCATTGTACAGCACTTACATCTTGGTGGCATTAGCATATGAAAACTGTCAAAATCTAAATGTTCGAATGCATATAAGATCATAGTGGATGTGAGAAAAGAGTATTATTAAATTATGTCCCGAAAGAGGGACGATTAACGAGAAAAGATTTAGCATGTAAAAAAGGGAAACAGTAAGGCAATAGCAAGGAACTAAATGGTATGATAACTGAACGATGCAATAACCTACAGAAATAGATCGTAAAGAAATAGAGCCTAGCGCAATCAACTAAGGCTCAATTTAAGCCCATTCCTCACAATTGCTTAAAAAACATCTAAACAAAAGCAAAGGGATCAACATATTAACAGGATTACCTGCATTAGTATCAGAAGAGATGGTTGAGCTGCTCGCATTGAGATGATCAAAATTACTGACAGGGAAATCATTTCCAAAGCAACTTCCATATGCCTCTTGATTTGAGGGGACTTGCTGCTGTGCAAAACCTGTGTCCCTATAAGCGATGTCTACAAGGTTTGATTGATTTCCCTGCCTCGCAAATGAGAACCTGGACTGGTTAGTATTTTGTGGCTTCCATGAGGTTGACTGTTTAGAAGGTCCCTCCTGTTTGTTCATTTGGGCAAGAAGTTTAGCAAAATCGTTAGCAGAAGACCATGAGTTATCCCATATATCAAAGTCTGACGAGAGCATTTTTGATACAATGTGTTCCTCTTTGGTATCTACAGTTGCAGTCCCCTCCATATTTAATATGTTATCAAAACTACTTGAGTACACCTCTTTGCCAGTGTAGCCAGTACTAGGATACTCACATACGCTCTCAGGTTTAACAAAACTACTTGGTATTTGCTCATGGTATCCATTCGAATATAAAGAGTGATTATTTACTTGTGCCCCCAAAATTCTAGAATCTCCATCAGAGAACAGTTTAACACCACTCTGAGAATTGCTGGTTAGTTGATTTGAATTTGAAACATCAGAAGAGTAATTTTTATACGAGGCACAAGATGATAAATTGGTAATTTCAGAAAGTCTGTGTCTCGGATCATCAATTGCAGTTGCATCTCCAATCCCATTTATGGTAGATGATAAAACTTGCTTCTGCGGTTCTAATTTCCAATCAGACAACTTTCCATGGACATGCGCATCAGGAATTACAGGAGCATTATTCACATGAAAAGAAGTTGAGCTTTCTGCCCCATTTTCAGGATAATGTTGATGCAGCCTCGAACTTAAATTCCCAAAATTTTCATCTACATGCTGATCAGTAATTGAGTTATGCTGTTGATGCTGGTTTATCTGATCAATGCCAAGAGGGGTATCCAAATTTACTGAAGACAACCCCAAGCATAAACTTTCTGCATTCCCATTAACAGCTATAGTAATATTAGTATCAAGACAGGAGCTACTCAATTCACAACCAACACCTTCAGAACATGTGATATTTACGGGGCCGCTATTGACAGTAGATGCAGTATGACTTCTGTCACTGTTTTCATGTTGCAGGGCAAGCTGACCAGATGAACAACTAACGGAAACTCCAGAAGCATGAGCTACATCAGGCAAAGCCTTTGATGTCACGTCTGAAATAGATGTTTTAGAAAATGTAACACCAGGCTCCAAAGTCTCTGAGGGCCAAATGTCATTATTATGTACAATCTGCCTCTCTGCTGGCATGTTAGATGTAAAAACAGTGTCATCATCCCATGCAGAATGACGAGATTCATCCAAGATAATATCTTCTCCTACGTTCGAAACAGATGTTGCATTTATGCGTCTAGACATTTCTTTATTCCTAAAGCTGTCGTTAACATGCATTGTTTGCTTTCCATTAGGTAACTTGGCCACCGGAATGTCATCATCCCATGCAGAAATAGAACTATGGTCAACATCCAGGGAAGACCTAGATGACACATCTGATACTTTTGTTAGATGATCCCTCCCATTACCACGTCTGAAAGGTTCCAAGAGCTTAGATCTACCATCTGTGTGCACCAAAGACTTTCCTTCAGGAACCTTTGAAGGGGTAATTGCATTGTCATGCCATGCAGAATTCTGTTTTGTGCCTGAGACCATTGAAGAACTAGATGAACTATCAAGGACTTCTATCTTCTGCTTAAGAGAAGTTTGAGAGCTTATGCTATCTGAAGAGGGTGACCGGCAACTTGAAGCACGCATTCCCCTGAAGATCATAGTTTTAGGAACAAAAGGAACATCAGGGAAAGTAAAAAAAAGCGAAAAGGAGCATACCATGACGCAGCTGCCGGAAGAACAGTAGACCTTGCACCACTTGTATCGAAGGAAGAGCTTTTAACCTGGTTCATAGTATTCAGTCAGGAAAACAAAATGCAGTCTTCATCTAGTCAAGCTGTCTACAAATGCTGCTATGACAACAGAAAACCATTGCTTTTTTATCAGAACATTGCTTGGATTGGGCTGCCGGGCGTGGTGGGGAGGGCTGGGTGCAAGCTTCGAATTTTAACAAGAGTAACCAAGGCTTACATTGAAGGAATTCTTTATTGCTTGTTTATTGGGAACTGCTCCGTTACAGTACAAGTCATCTACCGGAGGTGGCAACACATTTCCAGCACGTGGTTGCAAATTATTTGAAGGAATTTGTGGAACCCGACTCCTGTAGGATCAAACCCATATTAAAATGACTTATTCTCTACTCCTAATACAATAACTAACAATAAAACAACAGGATATTGAAAACAGCTCCGAGTAGAACAAATTACAGAGGAAAGCTAGGGATATGAAGACAATGATTCAACCAAAACTAAGAATAATAATACTAACACTTTCCTCGATATGGTTTGCTCATACAAAAATACCTTGTATATGCTGATATAATCTCATCTTTAGTGAAACTGTCCTCCTGGCTACCTATGTCATGCAAATATAAACAGTCTGGATTGTTGCAAGTCTGAATCAACAAGAAATCACCCAAGTTGAGATTACAAAAAATGAATATCCAAAGTTCACCATATTCTTATAACAGGAGTAAGAAAAGACATTCACTAAAGAAGGTAATTGTTTGTACCATGTTTCTCAACCAAGTGTAGCAATACTTTGTAGTACCAAAGCATGCTCTGCATGAAAAATGTAACATCACCGAGCTGATAATAACACAAGGCATATAACTGCTTATGGAATTTTAGTTGCAAACCTACCTCAAAGCTTTATCTTCTAATACAAAATTATGGACAGCTTGAATACATCGGACAGCCTCCTCCTCTCTGGCATATGTTATATACCTGTAACACATAGTAGTAAGATTATAAATGGATCAGGAAAGAGAGAAAAAAATGCAAACAAGTTACATTAGCTTTTCCTAGTTATTCTCTTGATAAAAAATTATTGTTCGTAACTGCTTGGAGCATTAAACACTTACCTCTTATATATCTGTTAGTGAAATTGTTCATTATCAAGGTACTCCAAAATAATATTTGATTTTACCTTTCTGAAAGTAGCCATTACGCTTTTTATGTAAACGTTTCAGAGAAGAAAATGGATAATCTGCCCTTTGAGGCTTTGACTCTCCATTATCAACTAGCCTCAACTTTGAGTATGGCTACAATGGTGAACTGGTTTACCAAATTTGCGCCTGTGCATTACAACCCATGGTAATGATATAGGGATAGGAAGGATCATACTTTAAATGCACATTACATGAAGGGTCTTTTTTCGCTTGGTCGAATTATAATTCTTGGTTTGGGGAACATTGACAAATACACGTGTACTTCATCATGTTTTTTTCAAGCAGGGCACATCATAATATATATATATATATATATATATATTATATATATATATATATATATATATATTATATATTATATAATATATATATATATATATGAGAAAATTAAATGGTATCCTTGTCATAAGGAGGGGATTTCGCTCCATTGACGCCTCCTAAAATAAACATGATTGAGCGACATTATGATGTATCCGCTCGTTGCAACTTGATCTACATATTCTAAAACCCGCCCACACAGGAACACCAAGTTTGGGGTGAATCGGCGTCGTCGTTTGACCCTGCCATCGAGGCGCATGTGAAAAGTTCTATCATTAAAACCGTTAAAATTGATTACGAGTGGATGAAGGGTCGAAACGACGCCGCGGGTTCACCCCAAACTTGGTGTGTTGGGGTTTTAGAATATGTAGATTAAGTTTTAACGGAGCGGGATCATCGCACAATGTCGGGCTCAATCATGTGATTTTAGAGGCGTCAAGGAGCGAAATCCCGGCTCCTATGACAATGATACCCATTAATCTCTCTCTCTTCTATCTATCTAATCTATCTATCTACTCTTATCTATCTATCTATCTATATCTATAATATATATATATATATTATATATATATATATATATATATATATATATATATATATATATATATATATTTATTATATATATATATATATATATATATATTATATATATATATTATATATCCAGAAACACAGCCACACAATTATCAGACTGATAGTATAATATATACAGAACCCTGACCTCATACTTCCTAGATAATAAAAATCCATGCTGACAGTCATAACTGAACTCAATCTTCAAAATACAAATTGCAAACTTTAAAGCCTATAGTTCGTCTCAAAAGCAAAACTAAAGACTCTTCTTCCTTCAACTTTATGCTATCTGGCTTTTGCGATATGGATTGTTAATGAACCGTGTATACGATTGTGTGATCCAGATGAGCATTCCATGAATAAGAAAAACCAAATACATATCTGGATTCACCAACATGTCTCGAAGCATAAAACGGAAAATTCTTTTTTGATTTTTCTTCTGGTCTATTTCACTAGAAGCATAGGTTCCTTAAGGAGAATTTTTAAACATGCTTAAGAAAATAAAACAATGCTAGTAACCTTGGTAAGTAACTAATATCCGCAACTTGAGTCACTTCAACAAGGCTCATTTAGTCAACCTAATATCAACATCAGATTCAAAAGTAAATTTGTTTCATATCTTCCCTACTGAAGGGTCCAGAATGAAGGTTAAATGCTTCCAATCATAAGTCACATTCAACAAGATCCAACTAGCACCAATACTCACTTCTATTCTAAATTAATCTTTGTCAAATATGGACATTCAGTTCAACCAAACAAGACGTATAAAGACTAAAGAGAGAGATGTTGTTTTGTATCTGCATTAACTAAATGAAAGTAATTTGAAACAACATTATTTTCTTACATTTCATCAATGTTTGAAGGCACTAGGTGGACTAGGCGTTTGAGCCAGCGCCTAGACGCCTAAGCGTTTGGCTATTTTTTAAATTATTTAATTATAATAATTGATAAAAATATGTATCAGATTCATATAAGTTTGCCAAAAAAAAGATAACAATCTTAAATCCACAATAAATCATGCATACTTAAATACAAAATAGCCAAAATAATAACTAACAAGGTTATAGAAAGCACTAGGATGCCTAGACGTTGGACCCGACGACTATAGCCTAAGATGTTTTCTTTTTTATTTTTTAATTATAATAATTAATAGTAAATGAAAGCTTAGGTGTTTGACTGGTGTCTATGCGGATTTTTTCTTCATTTAAGTGGTGGTCAAGGAGGTTTTGCTAAAGGTCGGAGGAGGCAGTGAAGCTATTTATATTTAAAGGTTAAAGGAGTTTGAAAGAGGTTGGAAGATGTGGAGGCTGCAACACAAAAAATCATGACCATAGAAAATCATGACCAAGACGTAAAGGGTGCAATCTGCGTAAACAGACAATGCTCTCCTAAACAGTCCCAAAACCTAGATGAGCAGCCTAGGTACCACCCAGGCGCTAGGCGCTAGTTAAGCGGCCTAGGTACCGCATAGGCCTAGGCGTACGCCTAGGCAGACTAGGCGGAAGCTTTTTAAAACAGTGCATTTCATGATTTAAAAAACCTTTTGTGAACCCCGAACTAAGTGAACTCACATGCAACAACAACAAAATACTTCAAAAACATAGCATACACTGATGGAAATTAAGTAGCATACACTGATGGAAATTAAGCTTACACACTAAAAGTATTGTTGTTAGCTGCCTGTTGGGAAGTCGCGCCAGCTTGTCTTGAAACTGACACCTTTAAAACTTTACCATACTGACCAAAGTATTCTTTCCGCTCAAGAATCTGTTGAATCCACAATTGTTACAAAAATTAGTGAAAACTAAGAAGTATCAAACTGGCCATGATCAGCCAGAAAATAGGATGAACCGTAAATGATGCGTACATTTTCGTCGGACAAATTAGAAGGCATTCCCATTACATATACAAGGTTCCTCTGCACCACACGTACGCTACTAAGATGCTTCCTATCCTCTACTGTTGATGAGGATTTACTTTTTGGCTTTTGGGGCTTCTGCTTTTTCTCCGAACTTATTTCAGCCACCATCCTATCCAAACAGTTACTATTTTAATAATGAAATACATTGTTTGCTGCAGTACAACAAGGATAAAGAATATGACAAACCTTTTACAGTTAGCAGCCATTCCGACAATCCTTTGCTTGTCATATGTTGTTCTACATGCTGGACATCGCCCTTCTGCACCTTCTTTCTCAGCCATTTCCATTATATGATGCCAACACCAAACACATATCTAATTTTAAAAAAGAACAACACTGTTACTCTCATCCACACTCTCATGAGCAAAAGAACATTCTGCAACAGCAGAACGGAAAGCTCCACACATATATCACATTCTTCTTCATATTGACAGAGGCCCACGGGAAAATCCATGTACGTGTGTGTCCATAAAGAAAGTCCATATGCATATTTTTCTGCGGCTACGCTTTTTCATAGACATTTTTCCCAATTATATTAAGAAAAAGCTACCTCATGACCCCTGTTGGATCCATGATTTTTGGAAAATGGTGTCACTATATAATTGCTAACTAAAAAAGTTATAACTATCCCTAATGAGTTTTCATATTTTTAAAAAAATACATAATCTCATCATTAGTAACACTATCAAATACATCTTTTTCGTATATGTCGGCAACTGAGCCAGCGAGGTGAAGAAGGTAAATCAGAGGAGGACCAAAGAATAGGTAGTGAGGCGGAAAACGAAGATTTAGAGGCAAAGGGCTGGAGGCGCCAAAGAGTAGTCGAGGAGACAGTGAGGTCGGAGGTGTTTTGCTAGGGTTGGAGAACAAAGAGTGGCACACACACAGAGAGAGAGAGAGAGAGAGAGAGAGAGAGAGAGAGAGAGAGATAACAAGATTGCTATTTGCGATTCTCTTGGAGAAGAGATCCCGAGTACAAGGAATTGGGTATTTTCAATATTAGTTACCCAAATCTTTCATATTTTGAAATTAGTCCCCCAAATTATTAAGTACTTTGAAAGTAGTCCTCAAATCTTCATATTTTAAAATTAATCCCCAAATCCTTTAATTATTTTGAAATTGGCCCCTTCAAACACATAGGATTTGGGAGGACTAATCAAAATATGAAGATTTAGGGGACTAATTTCAAAGGACTTGAATCCTCTCCACTACCAAAAAAGTAGTGGATAGAGCACTACATCAATCATAGTTGTTGATTTATGTAGTGGATGGTTATGATTCATTCCATATCTAACACTCATCATATCATCATGAATTGCACTATTTTCCTAATTTACACTCAAAGGAAAATCACAACCATCCACTAAACAAACAACGGTTGTAATATTGTAGTTGTCTCTCCACTACGTTTTAGTAGTAGAGATGATCCAAATCCAATTTCAAAATACTTAAATATTTGGGGACTAATTTCAAAATATGAAAACTTGAGGGACTAATTTCAAAATATGAGGGGTTTGGAGGACTAGTATTGAGAAAACCCATTAAGAACATGTATTGAATGGGTCGGGCCGTGATCAATTTGGTTCTGTGCACACTGATTTATAAGTGGGCTCGCCTAGGGGTTGGGTCTAAAACTGGGTGGATCCTATAGTTCCTAATGGGAGGCAGAGTCCTTGTCCCTCTACGCAAAGTGGGGTGCATAGAGTGGATCCATCCCTGGTCATGACAAAATAATTGCTCAATAATCGATATAGATGCAAAAAAAAAACTTGGATGGACAGAGCATGTTACGTTGTATTTGTAACAATAAACACACAGCATATACTAATAAACTCTATTTTCCCAAGATAAAAGGAAAAATGTAATTTGGGCCCAATATTCCAATCCAGTAATAAGCACAAACATGTCTGCATACTAACTTGTTCACAGAAATAATAAAAAAAGAAAACATTTCAAACATGGGAGAAAACACTAAAACTAAACATATTGTTATGGCGCGAGATTCGTATGGAGAAGATATCAAAGTGAACATTTAAAAGATTTCTTTACCTCATATCCACATCTGCATGGCTTTAGTTGCTGGTCAGTTAAATCCATCTCTTCAGCACAGAGAGGGCAGGTCCTATCTCCATCATCGCTCATGGTCGTCCTTCAAAATGTACAACAAAGATATAGCATAAATCATATAGAAGAGAATAAGGTCCAAATATATGTCATGTACCCATTAAACTCTCCTATATAAACAATCAAACCCAAAAAAAATTTAAAAAGAGATTAGCAAATATATGTCAATCATTATGGCCGTGCCTGTTGAGCTAATTCTTTAGACAGTTAGCAATCAATGTACTGTTAACGCAAAACAGACCAAAATTATTGGAAGACTGAATCAATTTAAACTAACCTCAATTCTAATACCCGACAACTAAAAACATTAAATTCTAATCCCCATCAGCTTATCTTCATCTAAAATTACCAGATTTTATAAAAAAAGAAAAGCACGACAATACGAAACCCTAAAAGGCCCATTTTTTGCCGACAGCCAAACCTCCAACCCCAATTCAAACAACAATCAAGATCCCTACCACAAGATCCAAGAATTAATGAGAAAACCAGAAAATAATCAGTAAAATACCTTTAAAAACGAGATTTTGATCGGGGAAAAAAAATACTAGGATCAGATCGAGAAACGAGGAATTGAGCTAGATGGGAGGATCGAAGCGCTATCCAAGAGATCGCGAGGACTTACATTGGGGAATCGAGGGATTGAGGCTAGGGCAAGCTCAAGTCCGAGAGCGCTGGGGATTAAAGGGGGAAAATTTTGGGGACGAGAAAGAAATCCAAACCCTTTTCTGTGGATTGTTTTTTGTCGCTGTGGCCGCTTTCCGAGTCGCTGTCAAATAAATAATAATTACCCAGTTGGACACAAGAGCCCTCGATGATTGTTCAAATTTACTGTTTTACCCACTTCTGGTAGAGCCGAGCCCATCATCGGTCTAATTTTAGGGTTTAGTTGCATTTTTTGACTTGTTAGAATTATTTGAACTATTATTGTAGTTTATTTCAGGGGTAGTTACATAAATTTACCTTGAGGTTTTGGGACGTTTTGCAAATAATCCCCTTTAATTGTTTTATCTCACGTAAACCCCTTGAAATTTGCAACGTTATGCAAACTCCCCGTAGACTTTAAACTTTTCTCATCAAACCCCACCTACAATTTGTAAGTGAATAAAATATTTTGAAGAGAAAGACTTTGAGTTACTCATTTGTCATTTACAAGCAACATACCCCTCGGTGCTCTCAAGTAAATTTTAGTGATTTACAAATTATATGTAGGAGGTCCAATGAGAAAAGTTAATGATCACAAAGAGGGGCTCAAGCACAAAGTTATCTAGGGTAATGTTTTGTTTTTATAATCTTTGGGGATTGTCGTGAATGAGCAAAAATTTTGGGAGGATATGCGAATTAACCCAAAAAAAATAACAATTTCATTATTTTTAGGGCCCGTTTGGTTGGTTTCCTAAAAATCAAGAAAAGGAAATCGGTACAAGGAAATCAATAAAATAATATTTTTATCCATTTCCATCCCTAAAACTCACCCACAACATCTAATAAAATATTATTTTTATCTTCCAACTCATCTCATTTCATCTCATTTCTTACATTTAAAAATAAACCAAACACAAGAAATGTGTCACATCATCCAACTCATCACAACTCATCTTATCCCATTTTTAAAAATCACACACATCATCCAATAATATTGTGACAACTCATCTCATCTCATTAAATATTCCTTTCCATCCATTTCCTCAAAAAAAAACAAGAAATTGGTTTCCTTAAGTACATGTCACATCATCCAATAATATACCTCCAACTCATCTCATCTCATCTATTTTCCTATTTTTAAAAACGAACCAAACACAAACATCATCCAACAATATACCTCCAATTCATTTCCTTATTTTTTTAACCAACCAAACAACCTCAAAACAATTTTTTTTTTAAATCACTCACATCATCCAATAATAAGGTGACAACTCATCTCATCTCATCTCCTATTTTACAATTTCCTTTTTTTTTTAAACCAACCAAACAATCTCAAAACAAATATTAGGGGCTGTTTGGTTGGTTTCCTAAAAACAAAAAAAAAGGAAATTAAGTATTGGAAAACAAAAAAGTGCAATTTCCACCATTTTCCTCCCTAAAACTAACCCACAACATCCAATAAAATATTATTTTCATCATACAACTCATCCACATCATCCAATAAAATATTATTTTCATCTAACAACTCATCTCATATCATCCAATAAAATAAACCAAACAACTTTTATGGGTCACATCATCCAACCCATCTCATCTCATCTTTAAAAATAACTCACATCATCCAATAATATTGTAACAACTCATCTCATCTCATCTCCATTTCATCTCCACTCATTTCCTCCAAAAAAACAAGGAAATTGATTTCCTTAAGTGTGGGTCACATCATCCAATTATATAATGACAACTCATCTCATCTCATCTTATCTCCTATTTTTAAGATTGAACCAAACACAAGAATAGGACCTATTATAAGAAATAGGTTTCTTATTCTTTGATTTTCTTCTTTTTTAGCCAATCAAACAACCATCCAACAACTTTTCTTAAAAAATCACTCACATCATCCAATAATATTGTGACAACTCATCTCATCTCCTATTATTTGATTTTCTTCTTTTTTTAACCAACCAAACAACCATAAAACAATTATTTAAGGAAATAGGTTTCCTATTTCTTGATTTCCTTATTTTTTGGCAAACAAACAGCCCCTTATAGGAAATAGGTTTCCTATTCTTTGATTTCCCACAAAAAATTGCCAAACGAACAGCCCCTTAGACAACTCTACGATTTGTTCCCTCACATCATATCTGCATTTATTCTGAACCAACTTTTTTCTTATGCCAAAGTTCTAATAATATAATGCAATTATATTTCTTAAATTCTTACAAAATTATGTTGGGACAAATTTTCAAAACCAACCTATTTACAAATTTAATCGCAGAAAACAACCCATTTCAAATTTAATTGCAAAAACCGACCTGGTTTCAGCCTTGGCGCTGAAACCAGGTCGGTTTTTGTGAAAAAACTTTCGAAACTTCACGGGAGTTGAACTCCCGTGAAGTTTCCCAGTACAAAAAAAAATTTGAACTATGAAACTTCACGGGAGTTCAACTCCCGTGAAGTTTCGGATAAAAATTTTCAAAAACCGACCTGGTTTCAGCTCCAGGGCTGAAACCAGGTCGGTTTTTGCAATTAAATTTGAAATGGGTTGTTTTCTGCGATTAAATTTGTAAATAGGTTGGTTTTGAAAATTTGTCCAATTATGTTGCTCTCTTCTTTCTATATTTTGGTCTTAGAAGTTAGGCCAGCCCATATCCAATCGACCTTGACGCCTATGGGATCCTCACAATATAGATGGGCTAGGGCCTATTTTTGCAGGCCAAAATACGGCCTATTAAACCTCAAAGTACGGGGGACAAAAAACGAAGGCATTATCACTACCCTCCAAATAAAAATTATAGAAAACAAAGGTATAGGGTTAATCACAGATGCATCTCCTGCATTAAGGTTATACTTACTAACCATCCATTTTTTAATTTTAAATATTAGCATATGTACGTACCTTCCAAGCTAGGCGACTGTTTGTTTTCCCCCATTAGTTCGGTAACTGCAATCTGAAATCAAGTGATAGTCAGTGTTAGACATTTGTTAAGAACAATCAGGCCATAGTCTAACTGAGTTTATAAGCTAACGATAAACTAACATGAAAACTAATATATGTGTTAATTAAATAAAATATAGACTATAGAAAGCTACGGGAGGGTTTGGCAACCATGGCGTTTTTGCCGTTTCTGTTTTTTTTTTTTCAACAAAAATAAAGAACCGCGTTTGGCAACCGTGGCGTTTTTTAACTTGTCCCTTTACAAAATCTAAAAATTAAACACTTTTCTCAAAACACCAAAAATGTGTTTTGAGATTCCGTTTTTTCATCTAAGTCGCCTGTCGTCCCGCTCGCTACGTCGCTGCCGGCCGCGCGCCACCCGCCGCCGCTAGCTAACCACAAACCGCGCGTTGCCGCCCTCAGCGCACGCCACCCCGCGCACCGCCGACCGTCGTCCGCCGCGCCGCGTGCCGTTCGCTTGTCGGCCGGCCGTCGCGACACCCTGCACCTGCCGCCCACGTCGCCCACACGCCTCCACTCCCCGACCCTGCACCGCCGCGCACACCTCCACCCGCCGCCGCCACCACCGCATCGTCGCGCCCGCCGGCCATCCGCACGCCGCCACCGGCCGGCCTGTCGGCTGGCCACCACTGCCACCCCCAGCCGTCGCCTGCCGACCCGTCGCCGTTGCGGCCACCGCCACCGTCGGCACCGCGCCGCGCCGCCGTCGCCCGCCCGTCGCCGGCGCGCGGCATCTCGCTACCCGCTGGCTAGCGCGCCGGTTTGTCGTTCACCGCCGCGTCGGCAGGTCCGCCGGCCCCGATCGCCCCGTTGGCCGACCGCCGGCCTCCCGCCACCCGCCCGCCGCCGCCCGCCCGCCCGCCCACTGTCGCTATATAAATGGTCAAACTAGTTTGACCAAAATGGTGTTTTCAAAACACATTTGAAAAAGAAACACCATGGCGTGGTGTTTTTTACAAAAAAAAAAAACACATTGATTACCAAACACACCCGTACACTAATAACCTAAGAAAGCAAACAAAAACACCCATATTCTTTTGAGTCCTACTGTTAGTTAATTTCCTTTTTTGGGCTAACATTACGTTAATGGTCTATTTTGAAACCCAGTCTTCCATGATTAAGGACCGTTCTTTGCTAGAAAAAGTTTGAACGTCTAAGGAGGAGTCTAGTTCGTCTTGCTTGCACATGGGCTCTCGTCCAATAAGCAAACATGTGTTTGGTTTGTGAGGCCCAATAACGACGACGCATTCTGCACCACAAGATTCAAAAGTCCCCAACGCAACGGCTAAGTTGGCAAATTCCTAATTTTCGACAGGATTGGAGATTTACAAATGAGTCGTTATTTTCTCGAGAATTGTAGTTTTGAAACAGTTTAAAAGGCAAGGGAATACTTTGTTTGGCGGGCATTATTCTTATCAGAAACTATTATCGAGTGTAATCACTATTTTGCAGTAGAAACAGTGGGGATGGTACGATCCTTGCAACTTGCTGGCTTATTTGAAAAGAGCATAATGAGCATGTTTTCAACTTTAAAGAGTCATACTGAAGAAGATATAAGAAAGAAGAGTTTCACGCTTAAAAGGAGTTGTAGCTTTGGTCATGTGCCTCTGTTTAAAAGGGAAGGGTCAAATGCAAATTTCTTTCTCTCACTCCTTCATCGCTTCTCCTCGTCTTTGTATAAATCCATTAGTATTTGGATAAGTGCAGGAACATAAAACACTAATAATTTTTTTTTAAATTTCAATAGATAGATGATTGAATATCTAAAGGAGAAACGGAATAATTAGGAGGGTTTACTTTTACCCCGACATATAAAAGTAAAAACATAATCACGCGAAGCAATAATCACTCAACGTATTTTAAGTAAAACTCTGAACAATGACGTAAAATAAGCAAAAGAGGTGAAAGTTTGAGGCGTTTTCTGGGACTAATCTAAAGTCGAGACCATGAGAGTTTAAAATTGGTGAAAATTTACGGTGTTAAAGTGCAACCAACCCATTTTGTTCTAAAAGATTTTTTTGTGACATTTAGCTTGCAAATAGACAACAAGAAATGGGTTTATTTACAAACTTCTACCGACTATTACCCGCCTCCCAACTTCATGTGCGCTCTTTGTACAGCACAAACTCATCTCGCTGCCAACCCTCCCGCCAAACTCCAAAGCCACCGTGTTCTCTCCTCCGCCCCAAACCCCAAAAACACCAGAAATAAAAACCTAACCTTTTTCATTACCCTCCCTCTTTAATCCCTAATTTTCCTAAAAGTTTTCTTTTTTCTCACCAATGCGCCCTTTTCTCTGCTTGCCAAACTTGACCATTTTCGACCATAAACAGAAAACTCGAACAATAATGCCACTGTCATCACTCTGCCCAACCTCTGTTTTCTCTTTTGGTCCTCGTTATACTGGGTTCTTTTGCTGTTTGTTTTCTGTTTTTGTTGGGTTTTGGTTCGAGGGTATGAGAAATGGATGCAGATGGATCAAGCAAGAAGCTGAGGAAGCCGTACACGATCACGAAATCAAGGGAACGATGGTCGGAGGAGGAGCATGAGCGGTTTCTTGATGGCCTCCTGCTGTAATATTCTCTGCTCTTGTAATTATTTCGATATAAAGGATTTTTTTTTTATTGACGATGATAGTGAAGCAATACATGTACAGGGAGTTTGCCTTAGAATAAGCAGTAAAGAATATGGTAAACAGAAGAGGTGAACTAAGTGATAAAATTTGAAATATGAACTGAACTCAAAGGATGTCAGTTACATCTGTGTTAGTTGCTTCTTTTTTACATTTTCTCGGTGTCAATACCTCTTGACCTTATAAGTTTATGATCCACAGTCTTGAAGTATTTTTCATATGCTCAGGTTCGGCCGTGAATGGAAGAAAATTGAAGACTTTGTTGGTACGAAGACAGTAATCCAGGTACCCATTTAATTTACAGACCCTTGATTCAGTGTTAATTTTTTTAAAATCACTTTCTTCTACATGCTGTATCGATAAAGATCCCTGATTTGGAGGTATATTATGTGAATTGTGCATCTACAATCCTATGGTCCAAAATTGGGTTAAATGTAAAATGATGTCGAAAAACTCCTAACGCATGTCTTATTTTCTAGTTGTGTACACTTGAGCTGCATTTCAGTGTCAATAGCGCTCAGATATAGCCCATATACGCATACTTGCAGCTTGGTAGGTTTCTTTTTATTATTTCTCTTTTTCTGTTGAATATTTTTTTTTGCCTAGTATTATTTTGAAGTCCTGGGTATCATATATCCTATTGAAGGTTTAAGCAGGCTAGCTGTCGAGATGTTTCTAATATTATATAGTTGGTATAGTTCATTGTAGTTTATCAATGTTCTTTTCCTATGTAGTATTTTTTTCCCCCTCCTTAGCAAGTAGTGTTCTTTTAGGAGCAATTTCAAAGCTTTATTACCGCTTTTTGTTCCTTTTGATTATTTCCTAAAAATTAGGATATTAAAAATTGCATTCTCAAACCCTTCTGCAATATCTATCGGAGTTTGTACCCGTTACTGATATTGATTCCAGCACTAGTCTGGGTACAAGATTAGCACAATCTGCAAATAATTTTCCATTTAATCTAGCAAAAAACATATAGTTGCGCGGTTAATCAATTTCATTATTCATAAAATAGAACATGACAAAGCGTTATTATAACACAAACAGAGGAATTTCTTTTTTTTCTTTTGGAGAAAGGATCATCTCTGTGTGAATGTGATAGGGTGGGGGCCAGTGGACACGTGAAGGGTTTTTCGTGTGAGGTGTTCTCGTGAACACTTGAAGACTCACGTGAAGAGAGAATTGCTGAAAGCTGAGGTTTGTTCAGCGGTTAAAAGGCCCACCCGGTACTTAACTACTATATATACCTAGTTCTTCCTAGGTTTTTGTGTGTGAGGTGAGGGGAAATCAAAAACCTGCGGCTGTACAAGATTGAGAGGGAAGAAAAGAGGCGCAGCAGTGCAAAAGAACAGAGGCTCCTTTATTTGGCGGCGTGCAAGGCTTTGACAGGGTCTTGGGGTGCGTGCAATAGGAGAAATAGATGTTTTTTTGACTGTTTTGAGAGAGCCTTTTTTGTGAGAGATTGGAGAATTAGTTTGAGGGTTTAGATTGAGTGATTGTAAACCCTAGTTGTATTCTCTCCCCTCTAATAGTAGATCCCCCCTCCTTGCCCCGTGGACGTAGGCAGTTTGCCGAACCACGTAAAAATTGGTTTGTTTGAGTTTGTGGCCATTGTAATAGTTTTTAGGATCCCTCGACGCGCAGTCCTAGAGCTGACGAGAGGAAGAGCAAATATCCCACTTTGATGGGATATTAGGCTTTCAGATTCTTGTTCCCTTTGAGAAACAAGAATTCTTATCGATCTTTCTCTCTTATTGTGCACCAAAAACTCTGCCGAAATTTCCGCTGCGCACAACAAGTGGTATCAGAGCCCAGATTCCAGATCTAGGGTTTGGTTGGAGGAGTAGATCAAATTGGAGGCCCGTTTAGGACTTCGTTGGTGATAAAGGTGGGATCTTTTGGTAAAGACTCTATCTTTTTAGTTTTGGATCTATTCTTCGTTCGTTGGTGCGTAAGATGTCGGGGAAAGAAGGTGCTTCGGGTGTCGAGGGCGGTGCTTCTGGCGTTCTGTCAAACATCTCAGTAGTCGACTATAATCTCTATTAGTCGACTATACTGTAAAAAGACAGAAACTTGTATTTGAGTTATATACATGAGTAATCGACTACTATCCTAATTAGTCGACTATTAAGATCAAAAATTCAGAAATAATGAGTTTTTATAATTAAGTTTTAACTATTATTCTAATGGTTAACATAGGGGCTTTCTATAGTTAACCAACACACTAAGCCTGTGTTAGTGTGTTCTAAAATTGTGTGTGTGTGCGTGTGTGTGATCAAGGCTTGTACAAATATTCTAAGTAAAGAAAAAATCAAATACATTATCTTTTGTTCTTCATTTTCTTCACTTCAAAATGCATTGACGATATCCACTTGCACTTGTACAGATTCTGATATTGAAATCTGCATATGAAAGTTAGTGCACACACAATAACCCTATATATATTATTACTCGGTTCTCTTCATGCCAATGCTAAATTAACAATATTCTCTTATATTGACAACTAATACCAAGCTGAAACCAGTTTGGTTCAGCTCTTGTACCTCCATATATTCTCCTAGGAAGCAATATACAGATATGGCACACCTTGTCACGGAGACAAAACAAATCCTTAAAAGGTAGGCTGCATGTATATATGCATGTGTCCTTTTACGGTAGACATCAAAATTCGTAGTCAATAGGGCATGTGTTATTGGAAGCAGTCAAGTACGGGGATATATTTCTGTTTATTTAGCAAGATCAGAGAATCCCATTTATTTCATATAGTGCTTCTTGACAATAAGAAATCAGAAAGACTCATCTCCATCTCATTTTTCCTTCATGTCTTATGATTTCATATTTGGTGTAAGCATTATGTTGCCAATATAACATCTAAATAGAACTATCATTGACCATTACTGATTCATTATGTTCATTAACATGGATTTATAATGTGATTATGTGCAATTAGTATCACGACGTGTATCTGTAATTCTGTATGGCTTTTTTTATTTTTAGATTGGTAATGATATGTATATCATCTTGGAAACAGTTTTGGCGTGGCACCTTGGGGGAAGCAAATAGAATATTCTCTAGTCGACATCCAAAGGGAGAAATTACAGTTATAGTAGAAGGAAAGGAGAAACCTGTTGCTGAAACTCCATCAGAGTCTGAACTGGAGCATGAACTAAGATCCTTGGTCTCAAATGGGCACAGTATTGCCATGGTATTCAATGAAGTTCATAACTGCTCTTCCTTCGACTTTGTTACATGTGTGTTATATTTGTAAGTTTTGTTCTCATCCATTATTTTCCATATACCAGCTAAGCGAACATTACTATTATAGGTAGCTGAAGGACCACTTTTTTAGTTTCAGGTCAACCAGAGATGATATACTATAAACTTGGGTCTCAGAACATATACTTCAGTAGATGATTTAATTATAATTTCCACACGAGTACTCAAAACATCCATCTTAAACAATCATAAGGTTTCTTAACTTCATAGAGTTACCATGGTTTGGGTTAAGTTCCAATTAAATTATGTCATTCTATTGAATATTATTTTTAAATAGATCTTTCTCAATCATGTGCTCTTCCTTCTCCTTGTATGTAAAAAAATCCCCATATGCTTTGTTTTTAATCCTAAATGAATCCTGTAAAACCTCTTTACTAACAGCTAATGCTAATAAGTTAATGTCATTCTCAAATGTGCCTTGAAAGTTGCAACCCTAAACTTCTTTTTTGTTCAGCAACATGAGCTGCTTTTCCCTGCTGAAAGGAGGGTATGTCTACTGGACTCTTTTGTATTGAGAAATATATAAAACATGTTTGTGCATATTTGAGCGGGCATTTACACAGACAGTTCTGTGGAGGAAGAAGCTTGGGTTAAAGAGGTGGCATGGGCATTTGCCATAGGCATAAAACTCATGCCCTATCTCAGAAGCAAAGACGCATCAACTGAAACATAAAATGTGTCTTATGTAGTAACCTTGCATCAAGAACACAAAGCTTAGTTTACTTGAACTCTTTTTGCCATTTGAGTTAGCATTCTACAATCAAGTTCCTTAATGTTATCACTTAAACGTAGGATTCCCTTCCAGATACATAAGAGCGAATGATGCAATAGCTTCAGATAGAGCAAAGCCCAAAATGTTATAACCAAAAGGCTGATGCTACACTTGAGCCTTAAGTTATCATTTTAAAACATTCAACTGTTTGTAGTTCCTGATGTGGGACTATAATATTTGGGGTTGTGAATGTGATAGGGTGGGGGCCAGTGGACACGTGAAGGGTTTTTCGTGTGAGGTGTTCTCGTGAACACTTGAAGACTCACGTGAAGAGAGAATTGCTGAAAGCTGAGGTTTGTTCAGCGGTTAAAAGGCCCACCCGGTACTTAACTACTATATATACCTAGTTCTTCCTAGGTTTTTGTGTGTGAGGTGAGGGGAAATCAAAAACCTGCGGCTGTACAAGATTGAGAGGGAAGAAAAGAGGCGCAGCAGTGCAAAAGAACAGAGGCTCCTTTATTTGGCGGCGTGCAAGGCTTTGACAGGGTCTTGGGGTGCGTGCAATAGGAGAAATAGATGTTTTTTTGACTGTTTTGAGAGAGCCTTTTTTGTGAGAGATTGGAGAATTAGTTTGAGGGTTTAGATTGAGTGATTGTAAACCCTAGTTGTATTCTCTCCCCTCTAATAGTAGATCCCCCCTCCTTGCCCCGTGGACATAGGCAGTTTGCCGAACCACGTAAAAATTGGTTTGTTTGAGTTTGTGGCCATTGTAATAGTTTTTAGGATCCCTCGACGCGCAGTCCTAGAGCTGACGAGAGGAAGAGCTAATATCCCACTTTGATGGGATATTAGGCTTTCAGATTCTTGTTCCCTTTGAGAAACAAGAATTCTTATCGATCTTTCTCTCTTATTGTGCACCAAAAACTCTGCCGAAATTTCCGCTGCGCACAACACTCTGTTGATACACACAATCAACTAATTGGCTCCAAAGTGCATGAATAATATAGCATTGAACCCAATTCAGCACTTATGGTGTGGTACGAAATTCTTCGTTTCATGCATTTATACACATACATGTACGAGCTGCTGCAATTTATAGTTTCCTACTTGTTATATCTCTTCCCACCATCTTTTACGCCCTCAGTACCTGCTCATGCTTCACCATGTCGGGATTCATTAAACTAACAAGTGTTCTTCCTTTTTTTGATTTTATAATTTGAATGTTACCATAGTTATTTGTTGTTTTTAGATTCGCAGTCACGCGCAGAAATACTTTTTGAAGGTTCAAAAGAATGGGTTAATGGCACACGTGCCTCCTCCCCTTCCTAGGCGCAATCATGCTTATTCGCAGAAATCCTCTGAAGATGGTTTGTAGCATATTTTCACAGACCAAGTCAGTTACTTGAATAAATGACGGGGTTAATTGCAGATAGACCTACTGTTGCAGATAGAGCCCCTGAGAAAGAAAAGTTTGTTTTTTGACAAATAGACCTCCTGAGGGTAAAAGAGTAAAAAAATGACTACAGGGCGTCTGCCTGCAATTAAACTCTAAACTATACCTCATCCTGTGAAACTGACTGAGTTATTTGAATCCCTGATAGCCATGTTGCCAATCCAAGCATCTGTGGCTTTCCCTTCTCCATCTGGTTGCTACATGCCTCCATGCGCTTCATGGGATGAAAAAGCTATGCTCATGGGTTACGCCTCCAGTAGCGACTCAATGTCCTCGAACTACCCTGCCATCCTTTCTGGAGTTGAAGGCATGAAAACTTCTGTATCTGACTCATAGACTCACGCGTCTAAGCTCTTCCATAATAATCTTGTAGCGCTAGTTCTTGATTTCAATGTTCTTGATTTCAATACTGGATAAATTTAGGTGATAACGGATCAGGGATAGCAGATATCTACAACCAAAAGTTCTTTTGGTCTGGCAGTTCAAGTAGATCAAATCTGATGCATGAGGCCCCAGAGCAAGGCAGTCAGCAGTCACTAAATCCAGGTGTTTACAGATTTTTGAGTGAAAATTGGTCGAAGCGTTAATTTCGCATTGATTGTCTGGGAAGCAATGAACAGTTTATCGAATCAAATTGGATAATTTTACACCACTCTTCCAATTTTCCTGACAGTCATTTCTTTTGTTGGTATTTCAAGCTTTGGTAAATTCTAGAAAATCATTAAATATTTTTTTTCATGTGATCCTAATGAGAAGAGCAAGCACCCATGCTTGTTATATGGAAAGCCGGTACACATTTTAACACGCTTTATCATTTTAAACTCCAATCAACATTACAACCTTATATTTCACTACTTAATATCAAACTTTTACTTAAAATGTTGCGGTGCAATTTTTATTTATTTTTTCGCTATTGCGGTATTCTTTCAATTGAAACAACCATCCCCCTTACCTTATATTAAAATAATGCTTAAAGTTTTCAGTTCTTGCAAGTATACCTTCTCTTATATATCCTCCCATAAAAGCCAACAAAAAACTCTCCAAGATCCATCAGTACCAAATACCAATTTTGTTAAGGGAATCCAATGCACTAGATCAAAGTTAATTTGCATACTGTTCCTTGTCCAAATGGGATATGATGGTGGGGATTTTGAACTTTTGTGATACCAAGAATTAATAAAAGCTTCACGGTTCATTTCTTGTTCGCTTTTGTCAAGCTCACATCAATTTCTAGTTTCTATAATGAGCAAGTTTGGATATAACCAATGTATACAATTTAATATAAGCTCGGTATTATATTTACCATCTGTCCAAACTGTCAAGTTCTTTTATGAAAACTACCGGTAGCATCTCAAATAATATCATTGTGTATCCCCCTCTCCTTTATTTTTAAATTTTCATTAGTGCTTCTCTGACTTCTGGCACTGCCAATGGATCATTTTGTGATAGTTGGTGACTTTCTTGTTCAATTGTTTAGGGCTGGTTAGGTTAACTAATTTTGTTTTTGTCCTGCAGTGGTGCCAAACTTTGCTGAAGTATATAATCTCATTGCTACCATGTTTGATCCAGAAATCACAGATCCTTTCCCAATTTATATGAAAAAGTTGAACGAGATGGATCCCATCACTGCTAAAACGGTAAGTTCATGCTTTTTAACTTGGGTTTTTTTAATTACACCGCAAGTTTTGATATTCAAATTGGAGGAAATGGAATTTGATGATGCTTTTTTAGTCAATTCATCTTGTTGTCAGAAGAAAATGTATCAAGACAGTATTTTCATAGTCGTCCATGTATTTTGATAGGTCACCTCAGTGCCGGTTCTGAGATTTTAGGGGCACTGTGCAAAAAGTAAACACATGTCATTCTCTATATACAAAATATCAATAAATTCCAATTTGAATCCCTAAAATGCTAGGGAACAAAATGTTACTGATCAGATATTAAAATATTACCTGGTTTTTTTGCATCTGGATAGTCTTTAACATACTTTTTAAGTGCTATTGTCCATTCTTCATCTCTTCTCGATCACTTATATAAAATGTTACTGATAAGATAAATGCATGTGATCTCACCTTAATAAAGCTTTCCAATAGAGCAAATAGTCCATAATAAGAAATACTTGCATATTATGTTCCTCTTGTATCTGTGCTTACCTTCATAAGAGATATCGAAGCCTTTAGCATCAAAAAGTACATTCGAAAAATTGTCCTCCTTGCATTTTTAGCTGTAAAATCACTAATTAAGCCTTTAACATCAATTTTATCTATAAAATCATCTTCAATGGATATCCAAGCTAGTCCATTTAGTCCTTCTTGTGACATGGTCGATCTTAGATAAGATTTTAATAATTTTAATTTTGAAAAACTTCTTTCTGCAATTGCGACTATAATAGGTATAGTCAATAATATTCTATAAGCAATACATGCATTTAGAAAACAATTTCGTATTTTTAGGAAATTCAGTATATCAATAGCCATCTTTGTTTCTTTTGTAAAATATTTCGTAAGATTTTTAGTTCTCCAAATAAATCTTTCCCATCAAGATCAGAAAATGTTTTATATTTTAATTTCAAGATTATCACAACATGCTTTAAAATTATTATCATCTAATAAATTTAACTTTTCTGAACCAAACAAAAACCCAAAAATATCTTCATATGCTTTATATTGCTCAAACCTTTTCTTTAGTGAACCAATAACTTGATCTATAATATACAAAAAATAATTGATTCTAAAAGATTCTTCAGCTGATTGTGTTGTCTCCTCATTAACATTCTCATCAAATTATCTTTTTCTACGGATTTGATGTTTTACTTGAAATACAGAATCAATTTCTATTTCAGTAGCAATTTCTTTAGCAATTGTCATAGCTTATGTGAGCCCAACTTCTCTATAATCCTCAAAAAACCTAATCAATCCTTTTACCTGATCTATAGCAATATCAATAAGCATGTCTTTAGATTGTAAATATTTGTTAACTAAGTTAACAGCAAATAATATATCATACCAAATAATCATACTTGTTGGGCGCAGAGTCACGCCCACCGCCACGGAAGCGATATCACCTGAGAGAGAGCCCTGGCTTTTGTTGTCACAAAAGCACAAGTCAACCTCTATATTCTTGTTTCTCAAAGGAAACGAGAATAGATAATGAAATTCTTATTTCTCAAAGGAAACAAGAATCGAAAGTGATATATTTCATCAAAGTGAAATATACACTCTTTCTCTCATCAGCTCTAAGACCGAATATTGAGGGAACCTACAAGCAATAGCCAACAATCAGAAAATAATAAATACACGAGATTTACGTGGTTCGACAAAATTGCCTACGTCCATAGGAGGGGTGAGGGGAGATTCCACTATGAGAAGAACACCGACGACTTGTACACTCCACAAGCTCGTCTTAAAGAAAAAAAAAAGATCTGATTTTTACCCAAAAGAAATTAACCTTTCTTTTGTAGAATCTCTCTTTATCTCTCCTCAAGACTCAGATCTAAGGCTCCTAAAGAAAAAACTCCTCAAAAGCCGCTGACCCTCTGTTTCACCTCTGCAGTCGAAAACTTTCTCAACCTCTCTGCTTTTGTTTTTCTTTCCGCAGACTTTTCCCCCGTTTTGTTCCCCTACACAAAACCCTAGAGGAGATTCCCTATTTATATCATTGATTGTGGGCCTCTCGGGTGGACTCAGTGCTCTCGGGAGCCTTGAGGCTCTCGGGAGCCTAGAGGAGATTCCCTCTTTTACATTATTTATTAAAATTTGTCATCGCTTTGTTGAGTGAGAAAATAATGTATAAATGCGTTGTAGCACTCCAAAAAAATCTTTTGCTTTCCCATAACAATTTGTCATATCACAAAGTGTTAAATTAAGACTATGACAACCACAAGGCGTGTATAATGCTCTAGGATTTATATCAACTAATTTATTTTGTACACCTTGGTGTCTCCCTTTCATATTAGACCCATTATCATACCATTGACCTTGTATATTATCAATATCAAGATTAAGAGTTTTTAGCACATTTTATAATTCTTCAAAAAGTTCGTGTCCAGATGTATCATTTACTTTTAAAAATTCTACAAAAAATTCTTCTATTTTTATCGGGCTTGTAGAAATACCAACACATCATAATATTAAAGTCATTTGTTCTTGGTGACTTGCATCCGGAGTACAATCAAGTATTACTAAAAAATATTTAGTTTATTTAATTTTTTGAACTATTGCACATTTGATTTTAGAAACTAATATACTTATCAATTCATTTTGAATGCTATGACCAAGATAATGATAATGAATTTCAGCATGGTCAATACGTCGAACATGTTCTTGCATTACCGGATCCCATTCTGCAATCATTTTAATTAAGCCTAAAAATTTTCCATTATTATTTTGATAAATTCTCTCATTTGTTCCTCGAAATGTCAAGTTATGTTTAGCAAGATATTTGACAACAGAAATTATTCTTTGTAATACTTTCTTCCAATGTTCCTTCACTTTATTAATTTGCTCTTGAATATTTTTATCAATTGTTTTATTTTTCTTTAATCTTATGCGTAAATCAAGCCAAGTACTCATGTTAATGATGTGCTCATTAGTTATTTCATGTTCTTTAAGCCTAGCACTAAGATGTATCCAATCATTAAATCCTTCATTTATTAAAAAACTTTTCTTAAACCCATTTTTAAACAATTTACAACAAAAACAGAATACTTTATCGATATCCTTTGAATAAACTAACCATTCCCCATCACATTTCTCTCCATTTGATAAATGCCTAGCGTAAAATGTCAAAGAAAAACATCTTTCTAATTTATCTTTAGGACCTTTTTCGGCTAATAGATCTCTTATAGGGTCATTTTTTACTAATATATCTCTAGATTTTGTGTCCAAATTATCCCAAGTTCTTGGATCATAAATATTCAAATTCATGAACATGGACTGATTAGGTTGTTCATTGCCTAAAATATTGGTTGTTCATTGCCTAAAATATTTTCATTCTCATTTTCATTCTCAATATCAATTTCATTCTGATTCTGATTATCATTTTTACTTTCATTTTCATTTTCATTCTGATTCTCATTTTCATTATCATTTTTATTTTCATTATGATTCTCATTTTCATTATCATTATCATTTTTTTACTTTGATCATCAACATTTTCATTCTCATACTCATTCTTATAATCCTCTTTGACACACGTTGATCTTTCACTTTAGAATGTTTTTCATTCGGAACATCGATAGAAGTTCTCATAAGAGGAGAAAGGAGCGACACATCATGTTTATTTGAACATTATCATTGATGTTAACTTAAGCCCATAAATCTACATGGTTTTAATAAATGTATTGTCACATAAAGCATATGTGATCTAATAAGCATGCCGTGTATGAAGAGTATGTATATTCCAGCCTCCCTTGGGCTAATGTATCAATCTGGTAGGACAACAATTGCAGTACACATCTAATATGTAACATTTTGCCCAGTTACCTACTATACACTTGCAGTATCTTGTATGCTATTTCCAAAAAAATTACTTATTTTCTAAACAGGATAGTGTGTTGGCATAATTAATTGGTAAAAGAAATGTATCTGATTGAGTACAAACGACCAAAGATGATGCAGGCTTGAGGACCTTTGGGATCTTATTCTGCTAAAATACCCTATAAATGAATATAAGAACACATACCACTAATTTTAATTAAGGGAAAAAGACATAAAGTTTCCACTATCTGATCGACTATAAGTAAAGGTTCAATAACTTTATGAGCTCTTTTTTTTTAATAAACCGCACCCGCTGAGCCTGCGAGGGTTCGAAAACTGGCGTTCACCATTAAATTTTAAGAACAAATGCATTCTGGCACATTTTCTCTTCGTTTTCAAATGATCCATGACCTTTATTTGCAGGTCTTTTAGCTTAGGACCATGAATAGTTCCCCCCCCCCCCCCCCCGCCCCCGCCCTCCCCCCCCCCTTGGTGTGTTAAGTTAATGACAGTGTAAGCAATCACCAGAAACTTTCAAATAATTTCCCAATCGCTTTTATGTTTTCGCTTAGTGTGTAGTGCAAATTGTTGGTGTTGGGTGTAGCCCAAACCTTCAGGCGAGCTCCTCAGGCGACTTTAGGCGAGGTCGAAGCGGGAGGCGAGCTCGTGAGGGCTTCAAGCAAGGCTGGCTATAGGCGAGCTCGAGTTCATTGCATGCGAGCTCCTCCAAGAGAGATCTGAAGCAGGCGAGGTCGACGACGAGGTGCTGGCGAGCTCGAGGCTAACAGGCGAGCTCGAAGTCGAGCGCAGGCGAGGTCGACGCAGCTCCGCAGGCGAGTTCGAGTGCGGGCTGCAAGCGG